ATATGTGGCAATTTCTTAAAATAAGACAACAATGAAGTTTGCAACAATGAAGTTTCAACAATGAAAAAGTTTGAAATATTGCAAGAATTACCAAAATGTGACCCAGAGACATGAAGTGAACAAATGCTATTTGAAAAATTAGCGTCATTAGACCTGCTCGATGCAGGGTTGCCGTAAACCTTCAGTTTGTAAAAAGCACAATATCTACAAAGCACAATAAAGCAAAGTGCAATAAAATTAGTGATGTCTGTTGTGAAAATGGGTTACAATTAGCCTATAAATGATTTTTTAAGGTTTTTTAAAAATTTGGTTTTGGTTGTCATTTGGCCTTGTTGGGAATAAAAACAGAACCAAGAAGCTCAGGAGCCCTCCAGAGTCTCATTCAGCAACACCACACCACAAATTTAGCTTTCTGAGTAGCCTTCTGTAACAGTCCATTGGGAAGGAATTGATAAAAATCAGCATTCCTGCCAATAATTAATGGTCAGAACAAAATAGATGTTCATTTGGTCAAAATTGTTGAAGGTAGGGGCTGGCCCTGTGGCGTAGTGGTTAAGTTTGTGCGCTCTGCTTTGGCAGCCCGGAGTTTGCAGGTTCCGATCTTGGGTGTGGACCTACACACTGCTCATCAAGCCATGCTGTGGCAGCATCCCACAAACCAAGTAGAGGAAGATGGGCACAGATGTTAGCTCAGAGACAATCTTCCTCAAGCAAAAAGAGGAAGATTGGCACCAGATGTTAGCTCAGGGCCAATCTTCCTCACCAATAATAATAATAGTAATAAATTGTTGAATAGACAAAGAACTCTAAGTTCATTAGCCTGCCCTACAACATTGGGTTATCTGGAAAGGTCAGGCGTGGACTGGTTTTTAGAGCTTAGCAGTGAGTGGGGCTGGTTTTTTGCCCTGCACATATGAGGTGGGACTCCAGAGCTCAGGTGCATGTGACAAGCCCACAGGAATGTACGGACCCACAGGACTTTTCTTAGCATAGTCACCTGAGAAGGCTGTCCAGCCACCTCAGCATCTCAAGACTTGAACGGACCTCAGAGGTCACCTAATTGAGTAAAAGTGAGAGTCAAATCCTTCTGTGACTTTCTTTCTAGGGGAGTGGAATTGTCCAAATCTAGGTCTTTTGAGGGTGAATTTAATTTTTGAAAGCAACCAAACATCTCTCAAAACCAAGTCTATTGAATAAATTAAGCAGTCAGGATGGACAAATGAAAAATAAGGTGGGGGGCTGGCCCCGTGGCCTAGTGGTTAAGTTCTCACGCTCCGCTGCAATGGCCCAGGATTTCACTGGTTTGAATCCTGGGCACGCACATGGCATCACTCATCAGGCCACGCTGAGGCGGCATCCCACATGCCACAACTAGAAGGACCCACAACTGAAAATACACAACTATGACCACGGGGTTTTGGGAGAAAAAGGAAAAACAAAATCTTTAAAAAAAAAAGAAAAGAAAAGAAAGATAAGGTGGGCCCATAAAATGACAAAACTGGTTTGCTCGAATGACCAACAATGTGGTTCTGAGAGGTAATTCGAAAAGCACCTAGAGAAACAGATGCTCCTCACCCTGCTGGTGTGGGTGCAACCTCTCTGAGGGCAGACAGAAAGCTCGTATTAGATCTTTAAAAATGTGCGTGCTCTTTGGCCTGGAAATTCAGTTTCTAGGAATTTATCATATGGAAATTATTGAGGTGGTACACAAAGGTGTGAATATTAGGAAGCTTGGTACAGTGTTAGTAACAGCTTAAAAATTGGGAGTGGCCTGGGGCTGGCCCCGTGGCCGAGTGGTTAAGTTCACGCGCTCTGCTGCAGGCGGCCCAGTGTTTCGTTGGTTCGAATCCTGGGCGCAGACATGGCACTGCTCATCAAACCACGCTGAGGCAGCGTCCCACATGCCACAACTAGAAGGACCCACAACTAAGAATATGCAACTATGTACCTGGGGGCTTTGGGGAGAAAAAGGAAAAAAATAAAATCTTTAAAAAAAAAAAAATTGGGAGTGGCCTAAACATGCAACAGTAGGGATTGGCTAAATACAGGAAGGTGCGTAAAGTCAATGGGTTGCTGTGCAGTCAGGTGAAACGATGCTACTGAAATGTTCCTGTTGATCCAGAGAACTGCTCACGTTCCATGAAAAGAGCAAGTTATAAGGCAGTGTTAAGATGTGATCCAGGCTGAAGTATGAACGTATCGGGAGGGGATAGAAAAGGATGCAGCAAGACATTCACTGAGTTGTGAATGGTGGGTGGAATTGTGAATATTTTCATATTTGTTCTACTCGTCTACGTATGATTTTTCTGTAACAAAAAAAACATTTTTATAATAAAAAGGTAATAAAAGGAAATATCAGAGAGAGGAGAAAGAGGTTCTACTATCCTTATAGCAGAGTTATGATGTACCTATGTTAGTTTGTTAGAATTGCACAACAAAGTACCACAAATTGAGCCGCTTAATCAACAGTAACTTGTTGTTTCGTGGTTCTGGAAGCTGGAAGTCCAGGATCAAGGTTTTGGCAGGGTTCGTTCTTCCTGAAGGCTGTGAGGGATCTGTTCCATGCCTCTCTCCCAGCTTCTGATGGTTTGCTGGCAATCTTTGGTGTTCCCTGGCTTCTGCTGCATCACTCCAGTCTCTGCCTTCCTCTTCACATTGTGTTCTCCCTGTACATGTGTCTGTGTCTAAATTTCACCTTTTTATAAGGACATTGGTCATGTTGGATCAGGGCCCACCCTACCCTAGTATGACTTCGTCTTAATTAATTACATCTGCAATGACCCTATTTCCAAATAAGGCCACATTAGGAGGAATTAGGGGTTGGGACTTCAACATATGAATTGGCACGGGGCACAATTCAACCAACAACACTCCCCCAGTGAGATGGCCACCCTGCTCCCACACAACTGAGGTTGGCACTTCCCTGCCACCACAACCTGCACCAGCTGCTGTATAGTGTGAGTATGGACCAAGATCAGGACTGGTGGGGCAGGGCCCTGCAGGACTCCAGTTTCAAAGAGATACAGGCGAAAACAGAGAGCCTGGGCCTAGCCCCTTCCCTGCCCCAGCGTGCCCAGGCCGGGGCTGCAGACACGAGCGAAAGTTCAGATGAGAACTGAACTAGAGAGGCAAGTTGAGAGGGCTGCAAGGAAGGAGTAGTCTAAGGAAAAAGAAAAGGACATATTGTTCCTTTTGGTTGAGTACAGGAGTTGTGATTTAAAAACGGAAAGAAAGAGCAAGAGAGAAGGGAGAAAAAATATTAAAAATATTACACAAAAATCTGCACACTGATGTTTATAGCAGCTTTATTCATAATCATCAAAACCTGGAAGCACCAAGATGTCTCTCAATAGGTGACTGGATAAACACACTGTGGTACAGCCATACAATGAAATATTATTTGGCGATAAAAAAAGAAGAGCTGTCAAGCCATGAAAAGACGTGGAGGAACCGTCAATGAACATTGCTAAGTGAAAGAAGTCGATCTGAAAAGACTATGTGCTGTATGATTCCAACCATATGACATTCTGGAAAAAGCAAAACTATAGAGATGGTGAAAAGTTCAGTGGTTGCCAGGGGTGTGGGGAGATAGGGAGGAGGGACAAACAGGTGAAACACAGGAGATTTTGAGAGGAGTGAACCTGTTATGTATGATACTATAACGGTGGATACGTGAATGATGCATTTTTCAAAACCCATAGAATGTACAACGCAAAGAGTGAACCTAATGTACACTATGGACTTCAGTTATTGACAATATATCAATGTTGGCTCATCAGTTATAACAAAGATATCACACTAATGCAGGATGTTAATAATAGGGGCCACTATGTTGACGGTTGGAGAGAGAGGGCACTCTGCACTACCTGCTCCATTTTTCTGTACACCTAAAACTGCACTAAAAAAATAAGATGTATTCACTTTAAAATCAAAACCAAATCGTATATTACAAATAAAGAAATTTAAAAGGGATCATGTACTTAGCTTCCCAAAACGGGCCCTTGGCAGATAAAAGTTTTGGAAACTTCAAGAGTTCGCTCTTTTTCAAAGGCAGTTGAGAAGATACAGATGACCAAGGTGTCACCCAGCAGGGTCTCCAAGATTCAAACAACTGTGTCTGCTCGCACCTATCTCAGACTCAACAAAGCCCCTCTAATTGAGCTTAAAAGTGGTGGGGTGCAGGGGAGGGAAGAGGATCCAAATTCTTATTCAGAGAAATAACAATTTGGAACGTGCACAAGAGTGTCAACAAGTTATGTAGATCTTATCAGCATCGCATTTTTGGTGCCTCCCAGCTATCCAGCGAGGCTCCATCAGCCTGTCAACACCCTTCAGCATCCCACGCATCACGGGCATATCAACACCTCCGGAGGCTCTGCCTGGCCAGGCCCGCCTCCCCAGGGCCCCTGGGAGCGCGAATTTTCTCTCCTCACGGGACACCATCATACCATCCCCTCGGTATGCATGAGTGTCTTCGGTCCATTCCTCCATTCACATTCTGTGACTTGCTTTGGGCTAAATGTCTATAAACTTGAATAATGCTTTCATGCTAACTTTGGAAAGGGTACCCAATTTGGGAAAATCTGATGTTCTCACATCAGAAGGAAGACAATGTGTAGTTTCCGTAATGTGAGAAGAAATTATGCAAAGTCATCCTCAAAGTATGATGGGCTGATACATTTTCTTCTTCAGTGTGTTTCTACTTTTGCCGATAAAACATCATGATTTTACAAAAGTACGGATATGGCCTGAGACTTGTGGAGATTCCTCTCTCCACCTCCCCCCACCCCATACTCGGAATAAGCCCTCATATATATAGTGCTCCATGATAATACAGCCTTTCAAATGTAATTTTGCTAAATGATGCAAAAAAACATTTATTTAGACTAATGAAAATGATAGTTTTTATTATATACCTCAGCTTTCTTTTACAATTACCTATTTGTTACATTGAAGTCAGTGAATGGATCTCCCTGTTTGTTTGTTTGTTTTCATTTTAGGCAGCTTTAAGTGCCTTGAAACAATTTTCTGAACAAGGACTGGATCCAATGGAAGGGGCCATGAATATTGAAAAAGGTTCCCTTGAAAAGTGAGTAAATCTGTCGTATTCTTACATTTGTCATTTTCTAACTGTACAAAAAATAAGATGTAGATAATAAGGTAAAAAACTCAAGACAATCTTTATAGCTTATAAAATTATTCATAATACAATTAAATGTAAATAAATGAGAAATAGTATACATGGTCATATTCATTTCCTATAATATGTCTGTGAAAGCTTTAATCTACTAATTGAGAATTATTTGTGCATTTTACTGCCTTTGTTGGAAAGATTTTTGTGAGTTTTGTTGACTATAGGGACTTGCAAAACATAAAAGATCCTGTTTCACTTCATACCGTTGAGCATTCTCTGCCTCAACCGTTTTCTGAGGTAAAAATTTTCACTCACATATCTGCTAAGTTGTGGGCACAACAGAGAGAAAAGAAAGAGAAGTGGAGACGGGGCGTTGCCTCCCCTTGGCTGGATTTTGCTTTTCACATTGTTCTGTGAAACACAAACGCACGTTGCCACAGAAGTGTGGCTCCCAAGGGCTGCAAAGGCAAAAATGTGGCTATAATAAATATTTCTGAAATCCAGCTCGTAGCTTTTTTATGGTATTGAACATAAGGTTTTATCTACGGGACTGAATTTGTGGTCTCTCTAGAGACCCAATTTATGCTAAAGAAATGGAAAGCAATTGTATTTACATAGTGGAATCCAAACTCTTTCAAAGCAGTAATGTTAACAGGTGAGATTTCAGGACACACACAGGAGATAATATTTTTAGAATGCAAAAAATAGATAACCCAGAAAGTAAACACCAGATCTGCTGTTAAACAAGCATACCTCAGAAACAGCATTTGGCCATTAATATTTAAAAGGTGAGAGCATGAGAAGAAAACATTTGGGAAACAGACGTGGCATTTTAAGTTGTCTATAGATTGGCAACCGTTTATAAGCTAATTTAATCAAAAACATTTCCACATGATCTCATCAGTAGACTATCTGAACATAAATATTGTTGTTTCACTTTAAAATGTCACTTTGGTGGTGACCTTTGAATCCTGTGTGCCATCTGCTAATAAACATGTCTGAAGACGTGCAACCCTGGACCTTCAGCTCTTGTTAATGTATTAATCTTCCAGACAAGCCCAGCATCTGGGGGAGAAAGCGGACAATAACCAGACACACCCGGGCTCCATCGCTCAGGACTGCAAGAAATCAAAGCCGGTCATCTAGCAGCTCCCAGAACCAGGCCTGCCACCGCATCCTTATAAACCTGTCAGCACGCATGAGGGTGTCTGTGTTCAAGGAAATGAATGACTAATACCATTATTCGAGTCTTATGTGAAGACAACGCTATTCTAACACAAGAGATAATATACATAGTACTGTTTGTTCAACTGGGGAAAAATAAAACTTTGAGCATTTCCCTTGGAACTCGAGATCAGATCATAACTCATTTGCCCAGAGGCAGCAGAAATCTGATCCTGCTACTGGAGCTTAAAATAACAATTAAGGAAAAGTGTTAGAAGCAGAGGTAAAATTTTTAAATGATTAATAGAGAAATTGGGTTTGTTCTGTTGTTATGATTGTTTTGTCGTGGCGCTCGTGTTCGGTTAGATTCTCTCTCTTGTTTTAAATAATGCTTGACGATTCAAAATTTAACCAATTGACGTGCTGTGGAATGTGATGGTTGTTGTCTTCATAGAGAGTCACAAAGTGTCTCTTTTTATGCAGATATTTGTAATCTTCATCCTGTATCAATATGAATAACTCTAAGGCGCACTTACTCAAAGACATATGCAAACAAACATGGTTTACATCAGGTCAGCTATTTGACTAAAAATATGAAATAATGTTAGGAACAACTAGTTTCAATATATTCCAGGAACGAAAAAAACAAAAACAGAAACAAAAACCAGTTGTGGGTTTTGAGCTCCATAATACTATTAGCCACTAAGGAGGCGTCTTGCCTCTGCAAACATTTCTCCGGATTCCACGTTCCCTTGTGGAAATCACACTCACCCCATGCGTGTGTTGTAGCCACTCACTGTTTGCATCAAGAGTGTTTTCAGTACCTCTCTCTGGACTTGGGACAGTGAGTAGGGTCAAAATAAATAATGTACATGGCAGGGAAGGGAAAGCTTGTCGGAGGAGCCGTGAGAGCCTTGCCAGCTTGTATCCAGCCACGCTCTGGACCAGCATGTTGGAATCCAGCGTGTAGCAAATGCAGTAAAAATTTGGTCGGTTTCTGTGTGAAGTGTTGTTAATGTTCCTTTCGTTCCCTCGCTCTCATCTCTTAAATATCGCCTCAGTGAAACCCGTCCCAGAGGCCACCACTGGGCCAGTCATCCTGCACAGCACTGGCATTAGAGAATGTCCGGGCTCCTTGTGCCACTGGCCGTATCTGTGAAACTGCAGGGCCGCCTCCCGGGTGACGGTGACTCGGAGCCGGGTTCCAGACTGGCCCACGTCATCTCATTGTCCAGGCTTTCTCCTTACTGATTTGCAAACGTTGTGCAATGAGAAAACACTAGATGGTCTAAGTACTCAACCTAGCATGACAATAGGAATATAATTATGTAAGATTTCACAAGCAAAACCACTGCAAATCATGATCTGGCTGACTCACACGCGACTGGAGAATAAACAAACAGCAACATAAGGAAATAACTCGAGGGTTTTTTTTAATGATTCCCATGTGGGGAAGTCCACCGGCGCTCGGAGGGCTGGGTGCCCTTGGAGGAAATGGGTTTTGTTACATAAAGCTGGGTCCTTGTGGAAATAACAGCACGTTTGTAAAGCTGGGGTTTACAAAGGTAAGCCGAGTTAAGCAGTAAGTCCCGCTGCACCCTGAGAGGGCACAGAGGACCCTAAATCTTTCCCTTAGAAGGGGACAGGCCCTCTCTTCCCCTAGGCCTCACCACCTGAGGCTTCTGCCCTCTGAGGGGCGGGGAACAGGCCTTTAAAGTGGATCTTCAGTTTACCCAATGCAATTAACACAGATCACCTCCCTCAGCCTCCGGCACCCGCACAACACCAAGGCTGGCAGGGCTGCGGCAGAGTGAGGGGCTCGGGGCACAGACACAGCTGATCAGGTCTCGCAACCCCAGTGTCTGAAGCATTTGACTCTTGAGCTATCTGGCCCAAATCATCCTCAGAGCTGGTGGATCCCTGAACACACCAGAGTGAGGTGGGGGCCGGGGGATGTAAATTTGCACAGATCTCAAGTTTCGTGATAGGAGATTTCTTCAAAATTCCCTCCCATCTGCCTGCCTGAGGGCCCAGGGGGACCTTCCGGTATTTTCCCAGAACGACAGCCACAGCACCTCCTGGGAACCGGCTGGGTTTTCCTCGGGTAGAATTAGCAATGCAAATGCTGGGCAGCCAGCAGCCCCTTGCAGGGACCTGCTGCGATGCTCCATGCTCCTTCCAAAGCGCTACGTTATATATCATTAGAGGGGAAACCATTAAGTAGATTTATTGAAAGAATGTTTCTTCGGCACAAGGAGATCTTTTTGATGAAAAATGGAACTCATTATTCTTTAAAGGACACAGATTGACTTATCTCCTTTATCAATTACAGTGTCTGCTTTCAGCTTTTCTCAATCAGCACCGGGGCTTTGTAGTCACTTCCCAGGGCTGGGGCCAAAGTGTTTTATGAAAAAGGTTTGTTTTTACATTTTAATTGGAAATATAATATTGCGCTTTGGAACTCTGACCATCCTTTTCCAGTACAACTTGCCAAAGATCAATGGTGAGACGCCACCCATCAGGCTGCGTGACAAGGACATTCCCCCCCTTTCCTGGGGTGACCTCTCTGAGTTGTCCTAGCATTCTCCTTCCCTGCAAATATTCTCAACAGTGATTCTTTTTTTTGACAGCTTCAACCAATTTCCTGCACCATAAAAAAAAATAGATTAATGAAAAACTTTCCTTATTATACAGAGGTTTTCAGGACTCCTAGTGACCTTGGAAATGTGGTCCAGACCAGTTGATTGGTGTTTAAATCCTGCTGCAGGTGGGTTATCACTGCAACTGCCCAGTGTTTGTTCTGCAACGTTTAATTTCCAAAGGTCGCTTGTTCCCCTTATGGCCAAGGATGATAGAAAACCTAACAGTTTTGCACACAGAGCTAGTAAGTTGTTGATGGCCAAGTCATTTGTGGGTCTGTCCTTGAGTCTCCCTAACATACCCCACCCCCATATAGGTACCTGATAGATGTATAAGTGATATACTGAATAAGTGAATAAATGGACAAATGAATGATCTAGCAAAAGAATAGATAAACTTGTTGGAGAAATAAATTTTAAATCTCACTGCTGACATGACACAGAGATAGGCACACACGGTAATATATGTCATTACCACTGATTAAGATTATTGTAGTTTTAACCCCAGGAGGGCTGTGGCATTTCAAAAACATGGCTAGTTCAAAAACCCCCCCCTTCAGAGATTTTGGACTCATGGAGACCACTCTCCTGCCCTCCATCTTCCCATGTCTGCATTTCTATCCCTTCCCTAGGCTAGCAGATTTAATTCCAGTCCCCACCGCCAGACACATTCCTCTATTTCCACAATCACAGATACATGACTTCATGAAGAGGGACGTTGTAATATCTGTCAAAGCAAAGACTTCCTTAGACTCGGTCAAATCCCATTGTCTGTTTCTGGCAGACGCCACCCGAGTTCCATCTCACCTTGCCAAGACTCACTTAAAAATTGCCTCGCTGGGGAAGCTTTCCTCTTATGTTCTAACCTCTCAATGTAACTAAAAGCTCCCTTGTCTGGATCCCCAGCACACTCTGATGTATGCTGGGAATGCAGAAAATAAATAAACAAATGAAACTGCTTCACCCGAAAGAACCCACATTCTAGTCAGAGGGAAAGACAGACAAGGAAATGAGCACAGAGAGTTGCGCATTTGAGGCTCAGAACCACTGGGCTGGGGCCAGTTGCTCACCTGCTTGTCTCTCGTCAGCCACTTATTCGTTCCCTTACTCATCTTTCTATGCTTTGGGCACCATGCTGTGGTGACACTGTCA